TATATATATATATATATATATATATATATATATATATATATATATATATATATATATATATATATATATATGATTTAAAGGATAACATCTTGTGTGAGAGTATATTTATATATTATTTTAAAACATCAAAAATACGATTTCTCTCAACACTTATAATTTTTTTATTATTATAATAATAAAATAATTATAATAATAAAATAATAATAATAATAAAAAAATTATAAGTGTTGAGAGAAATCGTATTTTTGATGTTTTAAAATAATATATATATATATATATATATATATATAAATATGAGTTATAAGAGTATAATCTTTCATTTGAAATTGAACCTAAAGATATTAATTGACAAAGAATAGACAGCAACCGGCCTCAATTCATCAAACCTGTCGTTATTATTTTCACTGCGCGAATTCGTCGTTCTCTAGCAATGGTTGCTAAATCATTTTATGATAACGAAAACCACTATCAGCGGCTTATGGGTTAACAATCACGATGACGGCAGTGTGAACTTGAAAACAGTGTAAAAAGGAAAGGAAGCTTTTTAAAGAGGAGGCAAGAAAGAAAGATCTTCATTATAGGGTCCGTCACATTGTTAAAATTGACCAAGTTCTATGTTGTTAAGAAAAATGGTCTCCAAGGCGTGCAGGTTGCTGTGAATGCTAAAAGCAGGTTTTGTCTTTAATGACAAAGACATTATAAACCTTTTGTATTTATTGTACAAACACCGTGACTTTTTTAAGAACATAAAGCGCAAAAAGAGAGACAAGCTTTGTAGACACTTTAGCGATTCTCGGCAAGGTGAATGAGATGAAGATGCTTAACAAGGATTTCAGAAGTACCACATCAGGCATTGTACTAAGCTGAACAACTTCTTTAAAAGCATTGAAGGCTAGTTAAAGTTGATCAAGACCTATCTTAACGTAACTTACCAATTCTAATTTGTGCGTCTATATGTTTGATTTATCAACAGTTTTTGAAACTTTAACATAATTTTTATGTTCTGTAAAGAACAAAAATTAAAGAGTTCATGTAAATTATGCATTATTCTTCATTCTATCAAATTGTCTCAAAATATATAATTACGACAATGACAATCATGTTTGTGGAGGCAAACAAGGATTGCTTTGTATGAGAGCTTATCTTTGAGCATCCAGTGCACAAAGAATTCTAGTCATTGTCTTCATATGTATTCTGTGTTAAAGTTGCAAAGCTGTAAACTAGAGAATGAAAAATTGTAATTATATTTAAGTGTAATTGAAATTCAAATAAATATTATAGGATCTGAGATCCATTCTGGCTGTGATGAGATAACAAGTGACGCAATATTGCTTGCGTGCGCTAAACTGGCCGCAAATCCATTAGACCACTTCTGCCTGTAATTGGTATTGTTTATGTGTAACAAAAGTTTTTTTTCAATTTTTAGAAAATGAAGGCAAGTTTCCAAGTTTGGTAGTGCTTGCTTGTAAGTGGCTTTGTATTTCTGCGTTGTTTTTTTTTTACTCAAATCTGATTAGAACACAACATAATCCAATTAGAACACAACATTGAGCCATATGTGCGGCCGTGGCGCAGTGGTTGGAGCGCTTGCTTTATAAGCAGAAGATCCAGGTTCGAAACGAGCTTTGGACATATTTCGCGTCACGGTAAGGAAGGAGGCGTGAACTTCTTGGTTAAATGCACTTCCGCGGTGCTCTGTGACAAAACCCTTAGGACTTCTTGGGGCACCTAAATAATAAATTTAAAAAATAAAAATGTCATCACTCTTGGCGACAAAGATGATACATTTATAACTACCGTCAAGAGTGTCAGATTAAGTCAGTTTTATTATTTTTGTTTACAATGAGTTAAAATAGTTTAAAACTGTTTAATTTTTTTTAATAATGATTAAAACAATTTTACAATATTAAATTGTACTTTAAACATATTTACACTTGTTGACCATGTTAAACATGGGATTGTAGTAATACTCAACACCTAATAGTTATAATTAACAATAATAATTATTGAAATTTGTAAAAAATTTAAATTAAGGTGGCTGACAAGAGCAAACTATCAAATTAAAACATTTTAATCATTAAACTTTTTGAAAAATTTGCTAATAGAATCAGCAAAAACTTTTGACCTAAACAGAGACATCACCTAGACACTTAACTCTATATCAGGGGAACCTTGACATTTTCAGAATTTTCATGATTTCATTTTTTTTATACTAAAATTGGCAATATGGAAAAAATTTGATCAATTTTATTTTTTATCATTTTCTTACTTTTGAAAAAATTATAGAAAAATATTTTTTAGTTTATTTTTATACAGATTTTTACAAAAAGTTTTAAAAGTTTGCTTTTAAACATAAATAAACTGGACTCTTATGCAACAAAAAGTATCAAAATGTAAATAAAAGCCTCAATAATAATCGAGGTTTTTAAAACACTAACATTCATAATTTTTAAATTTTTTTAAAGCAAACTGTCAACATAAACTTTTGTTAATTTTCCGTGGGTTATAGCAAAAAATAGAACAAGCGGAAACTCACATAAACAGTCTTAAAATTCGAAATTTCAATAGAAATGCGAGAAAACTTTTCAAAAAACCGAAATCCTACTATTGTTTGAGAGAGAGGTTAAGCTAAACTCTATCTATCATCTAATATTATTTATTATCGCTATTGTAATCAATATTTTGAGAGAGTTTAATTATTTCATCTATAACTTCTTTTACATCAGATTACGTCATAGAAATTCTTACTAATATCACTAATTTCTTTGTGTTGGTACTTTAATAGATGTTTCTTACTTGCTAAAAACTTTGCTTCCTAATTCATCTTTTTAAATTTGAATTTAGGCAGGCATGTAAGCATTTATTTCTTTACAGTGGAAAATCGGCTACCGGCTAGCCAGCGATATTCTTAACATTAAAGACAGAGATTTGGCCACGAAAATTGCTAGCTAGATAAACTAAAAAAATATCTTATTGAATTATTTTATTAGTTAATAATATTATGCTATAATATTATTATTATTAATAAACATAATGATTATTTTACATATTTTAAACCTATTTACTTAACTTATGTATATATGTCGTGATGTTGTAGTTAGCAGTATATCTAGTAGTTATGTTTCTAACTACTATTCGTAGGCTACGAATATATCGCTAGCTACAAAGCTACGGCATGTAGCCATTAACTAAGCCTGGTTATTTGTTTTATTTTTTTGTAAAAAAAAAATAAAAGAAATAGCCATTCTGCTAGTGATTTTTTTTCACTTTTAGACAAGGTCCGAAAATACATTGCAGATGTAGTAAGACTTACTCTAGTTTCTAAGCTTGAGCCTCTGTCCCATCGTCGCAAGACTGCAACTCGTTCTCTTTTCTACAGTTACTAATATGATTCTTTTATTTATTCATTTCTAGGTATTTGTTATAGTAGATTTATAAAGAAAATAAAAGCGCATTTTTGTCAGTTCGATACCTTTGCAGAAAAATATTTGTGTATGATATTATGTAACCTACTAAATAAAGAATTTGAATGCCAAATAAATTACTTCAATAATGTTAAAAAAAAAAAGAATCCAGGTCTTTATGACTTTACCTGAACTACAAGAAGGATCGAAACGTTTAATGACTAGAGTAAGAGGGAGGCTCATTTAATCTAATCTAATCTAATCTAATCTAACCTAATATATATATATATATATATATATATATATATATATATATATATATATATATATATATATATATATATATATATATATATATATATATATATATATATATATATATATATATATATATAAATTAGTAGAAAATCACTTAGCAAAATTTTTTCTCATTTAAATGAGAAAAAATTTTGCTAAGTGATTTTCTACTAATTTATAATTGCTCTGTTCTTTTAAGAACATTGAGCACTCTTTTTGTAGAATACATTTTAAATTGTTTAAATATATATATATATATATATATATATATATATATATATATATATATATATATATATATATATATATATATATATATATATATATATATATATATATATATATATATATATATATATATATATATATATATATATATATATATATATATATATATATATATATATATATATATATATATATAAAGATATATATATATATTTTATTTTTTTATTATTTATTTAATTTGCCGTTGATAAATATTACAAAAAAGAAATTACAATAAAAGAAAATCCTAGCCGGAGCAAGAAGAAGACAGGTTGTCTTATCACCGAGCCCCGTCACACAAAAATTTACATGCACAATAAATGATAAAAGACAAAAAGACAGTATAAATACAAAAACAAAAACAAATCAAAAACTTCAGCAATAAAATAATTTGTTGCTAACAATCTTCCAGCAGAATAATTTTAAAAATAAAAAAGTAAAAACGACAAAAAGTCATGAAAGTTATAAAAACACACAAAAAAATGTGTTGTTTAATTGAGAAAAAAAAAAAAAAGCAATATATGTAATGTATTTATATTTGTATATATATATACATATATATATATATATATATATATATATATATATATATATATATATATATATATATATATATATATATATATATATATATATATATATATATATATATATATATATATATATATATATATATAAAGAGAAGATATAGAGAAGTTCGTTTTGAGAAAAACGGTAAAATATTTTAGATCTCAATAATGAATAAAAAATAAACGTTACAGAATGACGCGCACTATTGAAAGACTTGGATCTTTTTTACAAAGTATGTAATAGTATGTTTGGTTCCATTTCCATTGGAAAATAAACTGAACTTTTGGACTAATGTGAGGTTGATTCCCTTGTGTTTAACACTATGCGTATATAAGTGTATATAAATATGAATTGCAATTAAAACACATAGGCATATATCAAAACTAATAATAAACATAGACCACGCAAACTACAAAGTTCATCTTCCGCGTACTCAATATTTTTATAATAGGTTTTACTTACGCAATTCGCAATTTCTGTCTTCATTTTTCAAACAAGATGCATTTCGTTGTTTGATTAATTTTTTTGTTTTTGAACATTCAAAAATTTTAATAAATATCTTACTAAATCAGTTAATGTTTATTTAATTATACCCGACAATATATCATGGTTTTATATTTATTAATAAATGATCGTATATAAATCTAATCCTTTAAAAAATTTACGAATATTTTTTAATCATTAAAATTTAATTATTAAAATCAAAAAACTATTTTTATTTTCTTAGAAAATTATATAGTAAAATGAGGTCTAATGAAATAGTTATATGAAATACTTTTTTTTTTTTACAGGAAAAAGTTTTTTTTTTTTTTTATCAAGTTCTAGAATTATAATTTTTTAGAATTTGAACTGCATTTTAATATAAACAAATCAAAAAAAATTTTATAAAAAAACTTTATTAAATTGGAAAAAAAAAATAATTTTGTTTTTTACTCTTACATATGGAGATGAAATATTCAAGGTTTTGACTAAAACATTTTTATGATAACTTTACTTCATTAAAATTTTTGAACTAATTTAAGCCAAAATAATTTTTCATTTAAAAACAAAATAATTTTTTTCTCCAATTAAATAAATTTTTTATAGTTTTAAAAAACTATAAAAAAAAATTTTTAATTTGTTTCTAATAAAATACAGTTCAAAGTTCTAAAAAAGTGTAACTCTACAACTAAAAAAAAAAAAAGAAAAGCCTTTTGTCATTGCAATTTGGAACAACATCTAGTGGCTGCAGTATGTGTGGCAAAATAACTAATAACATTAAGTGGCTGCAGTATGGCGAAGGAACTAATAAGCAAACTAACTAGATATTATTTTCAAGAAAATGTACTCATTTACTTAGGCTATTATAGGTATATTAGGGTGTCCATTACGTCAATATTTTAGAATTATCATATCAACTATTAAAATAAGGCTAATCTAAAAAAAAAAAAATGTAACTTATATAAAAAAAAGTACTTATATAAAAATTTTAGAGTCCCCCACTTAGAAAAAGTTGAAAAAATCCTTTTTTCACATAAATTTTACGTAAAATGTTAATAAATATATTCCGTAACGACTTCAACTTTTCACACAGTTTTATTGACTATATTATTTATATTATATAATATAAATAATATAATCAACAAATCTTTAAAAAAATTTATTTTAAGGGTCCCCAGGAATTAAATAGTCAAGTTGTTTTATAATTTAGTAACGTCAGTAAAGTAATTTACGCTATCGTTAAGATATCATAGTTTTACTTAATATTAAGAGAGAAACTGTAAGCAAAGTCTACCTGAATTATATGTTATCTTCCTTTTTATTAGGTTTACAAAAAAATTAACATAAAGTCCGATTAGATTAGTTTAAAATTTACTTGGCTTTTATTTACCCTTAGCAACAATAACCGGCAGACATATTTTGGCATTCTACTTGTCCAATTGTCTTAACGACTTGTCCAATTTGTCAAAGTCAAGTTTATGCCACTAACTAATAAGTTGTGTTCATATTTTATGTATCATTAAGGATTAATTTTTAACATTAATTTAAATTTCTCCCATAAAAATAGGAGAGATATCTTGTGATTGGGGAGGCAAAATCATTTCATCTAAAATTTGATCGTTCTCGAACTCAGTTAAATAACTTGCACAGTTTTTTCAAAAATATGTTTTAGATTTAAGCTTAATGTCATTTGCTTCTGAAAAAATGAATAGCTTCTCATTAACCCATTTTTCCGAAGATATAGAAAAATTTTTTCAAGTGTAAAAGTAAACATCTTTTGTACTATTTTCACATAGTCACCTGTCACATTCTAACCAAAACAGCCCCACACCTTGACATATAATTCACCATGTTTTACAGTTAATAATAGACTCTATTTTATCATAAATTCAACGATTTTTTTTCAGACAAACAATCTTACCTTGAAACCAAAGATTTATAACTTCAACACGTCGGTCCTCGTTTACAGCAATTGATGGTCTATTTTTTATGTAGAAACTGCCCACTTTCGTATTTTCCCACAGGTCCGTAGTTTTGCCCACTTTAGTATTTTTGATATTCTTGTGATTTTTATCAAAGCATTTTAACCAAAATAATTTTAATTTATCTAATAGTGAAAAAATAAACTTAAAAAATATTTGAATAAAAAATAGCATTTTTAAAAAATGTTAATGCCATTCGAATAATTATGAACGGTAGTGTATATAAAATATATGCTATATTTAACTCTTATGATATCGCTAACTTTTTAACCGTAAAGGCATAAATTTGGAACAATTTAAGAAGGTATAAATAAAAAATTTTTTATAATAGAAAATATGCCTATACAAAAAAGTTTGTTTAGGCATATTTTCTATTAATTTCAACTTATTAATTTTTCTTAAACGATGGTCGCGTCTAAACAGGCTGTTTAGTGTCAGGGAAACTTCTTGTGTGTTGTTTCTTTAGAGTGTTTTTCCAGCGATCACCACAAAAATGGATTTACGTTTTCGTAAACTAACTAAACCTTGCCACGTAACACTTCGGCATTGGCCGACACAAAAATGTAATTTTTGCATACTTTTGATAGTCGGTTGCTTACAAGTTTATAGTGCTTAAATAACCTCTTGTAAAAAAATCAATTAGTTAGTAGAAAAAGTAAGACCCACTTGAAGTTATCATCAAGATTTGGATTTAGACTAGGGCAAAGTTTTAGTGTCAGTGTAAAACTTCCTCTTAAAATCGCTTTTTATTAAATTTTGAATTATTTTAACTGTTTTTTTTTACTTTATTTTGAAAAAAATTTTCAAGGATATCTTGAATGAACTACTAGAAATTAGGAATGAAGCTATTTTACCAGTTAAGCTAGATAACAAATGTATCAAGTATTTCATTGAAGTTTTAAAAAAGTGTGTTTAAGAAGGGAAAAAAGTGCCCTGAGAAGAAAAGATACCATATACGTGTATCTCGACTTGCAAAACAAGACATATTACGTGTATCTCAACTTGCAACGTGGAAGGAGGACTGGAAGTTTTAACTGAACCAACGGAAGTATCCACAGATATTATCATGCATTTTTTCAACTATGTTGCTTTATTGTGTTTTATAAGGTGGTTGTTTTTATTTATTTTAGTATGGTATTTTTTGTTTCAAGAAGCGTTCTCTTCACCCATTCACTTACTGGGATTCAAAATTTGTTTTGTTACTTAATGGTAAATGAATGTTTAATTTATTACTAGCTCCTTGTTTCAAATGTTTAAAAATATAAATATCATAAAATACTGAAATATTAAAAAAAAAACACTTTTCACTTTTTTTTAATATTTTCATTTTTGAGATCTTAAAACAAATCACGTTGGATCAACAGATTGCTTGACCCGAATCAACATTTCTTGCTGATCAACATTGCTTGACCCGGATCAACATCATAAATTAAAAATAATTTCTTATTTTATTGTGCTGTTTCACGCATAAGCTCTTTTACTAAGTCGCATCTCAGTTATCGCACCAAAAATTGATAGTGTGTACATCGCCTATATACAGTAGGACCGTGATACAGACAAAAATGCTTCTGATGCAGTGATTCAGGTTTGCAACAGATACATTTTATATTTTACTGAAGAGTTAGTTGTCTTTGCAATGTTTGATGAGGATATTTCACTTATTGAACAAATACAGCACCTAAAGAAGAAAAGAAATGAAGCTTAGAAACCGTCTTTCCCGAAAGGAGAGCAACATTATTCCTTCTTTTGTCTCTTTAATTGGTTTATCTTCCTGGGTACTATTTAAAAAAATCAAGATAAATGCAAAGCAGGTAGACTAAATGCAATTGCCTGTCAAGCACAAAATGAAGATAAAAGATTACAACTCTGTTAAAATTTTGTAAAATACTGTCATATTGTGAATGACTGCTCCAAGAAAGGTGTAAAACTTATAAAAAATTGCAAAATCAAAATCAAGGACCCAGCACAAATAGTGGAGAATCATTGAAAACAAGCTTCTCTTCAAGGACAAATAGAAAACTTAATGAACATTTAGTCGTTATTTTTTTTAAGCAGTGCGAATTGTAGCAATCTTCCAATAACAAAAGTTAAACTGGTTAAAACCATTTGACTATTTAATTCGGGGGGACCCTTAAATTAATTTTTTCAAGTCGAACTTTTTATACAATATAAATAAGAAAGTAAATAAAACTTTGTAAAAAGTTGTAGTTGTTACGGAATATATTTGTCAACAGTTTACACAAAAATTCTCAAAAATAGACAGTAAAAAATTTTTTTTTTCAACTTTTTCTAACTGGGGGACCCTAAAATCTTTTTATTTTAAATAATATTTGGTACACGTTGTTTTTTTCTTAGTCTAAACCTCAATTCAAAAGTTGGCATGGAAACACTAAAATTTTGTGGGAATTGGACACCCTAAAGTTTCATGTATCAAGTGTCCACTTATGAATAAAATTTGAATGCAAATGTAAATAAGAACTTTACCAATAAATTTTATTCCTACTCATAGGTAGGAATTTTTTAAAAAGCTAATACTTCCCCTTCTCCCGCTAATACTTCCCTTTCAACTTTCTTGAACAAATATACTTTCAAAAATATATTATTTTTAGAAAAAACATTTAATTTGTATTTGTGAATGGTTTTTACAATTTTTTTTTTTTTTTTTTTTTTTTAGTTGCGTGCAACTGTTTTATGAATAGATTTGATAATAATCGATTTAAAATTTATGCAAAAAATTATTAAAGATTTATTAATCAGTTTAGGTATGATTAATTAAAAGTCCCCTTAATCAAGTTAACGTTTGGACAACTAGTCTACTTTATTCAACCCAATATTTTATCGTTTTTGTTTTTAATTCATCTTTTTTTGTAAGAAACAGTAAACTTAATTTCGAAAAACCTCTAATAACGATCTATTCAGTAACTCAGCATAAAAAAATTAAACTTACTGAGTAGGAGATTCGAGATCTTAAGGTTTGAAATGAAACAAAAATTGTCAAACAGTCTATTGTTGATCAGTTCTAACTGTTATAAAATGTTATTGCACGTTTTCCATAATTGTAACTTTGTCAACCC